AGCTGGTTTCTTCTGCATCCTCACAAGGTGGGAGTGTTAGGTTTGGTTGTATTGGATGCAGAGCCACTGGGACAAATAGGTACAAACAGCTTGACTATGTACTGAGCCACTGTATTTCCTTTGTTCCTTAGTCCGTGCAATTGACCTTGCCTTCGGTTTGTGTATGTGTCTGGGCCTGGTGTGCTTATGGCCACCCATCTTATGCTTCCCTGTTCTGCCTGCTGCTAACAGCTGGAGGGTGAGGATAGCTGTCCAAACGTACAAGGGTGCCAGTCTTAGCGCAAGGACCGTGAAAGGGGAGCTCTGCTCGAGAGATGGCGTATAAGAACCCAACCGCCTACGATCTGCGACATACGTAATCGCCAACGCAGGTAAGACGGCATAGGCGAGAGGGACTGCGACGTTGAAATTCAGAAGCAGATTTCTGAAGTAGAAAGTCCACGGTTCCGTGCCATACAATTCAGGACCACGGATGGAGCCGCCGAAAATATTGTATCGGATAATGTTCCAAGGTACAAGGGTCAGGCGTCCGTAAGCAAGACTGTCGATGGCCACAACCGGGACCTAAAACCAAGTTAGCAATGGATTATAACCTCAGAGAATGTAGGACGCACGAATAAGAGTGCCGAGGTAGCCACTGCACTAGCGAAGTTCGACCATCTTCGCTTAAGCCATGTTTGGTACATGTCTGCCGGAACACGGTCACCGCTGAAAACGAACAGTTCCTCGACCACGAAAGGCAGCGAAAGGGCCAGCGCGAAAGGCCAGCCAACGATAGCTCCAGCAGCGAAACAGAGGGTAGCATAAAGTGTGCGCTGCTTGCTCTTCGTGCTGGCGGGCTCCATAGCGTACGAAAATGCAAGCATGCTAGCATACATAGCAAAGGATGATGGTAGGAAAGCTATATATCGGTGATGAGGATGGGACGGGACTGGTGAAGGGCGGGCTCGTACCTATTGAAGCATTCCACATCCCAGTGCTGAAGAGCAATAAGAAGAACAGGTATCGACCAACTTTCCGGTTCACCTTCTCCACGACGGTCCTGTAGAACTGGGTCTCGCATAATGAGGAGATGACGGCAAGGAAGATCCTAACGGCGAAAAATGCCGCTCTCTAACGTCTTCATTCGTCACCGAGACACATTTTTGTCGGAGTAATTCACTCACCTTCTCTCCTGTAAACAAAGCACCGATACGCGCAGGCAGCAGATGGACCACCACATACGCCCAACTCCGGATTGCATGCGCGGGCGAAGTCTCCCAGGTCTGAAATCCATATCCTTGATCAAGGTAATGAAGGGGCTCCCAGAAGTTGAATACTACAGGCAGGATGCACATCTGTCACAGGCCCTGGAGCATATTCCAAAGCGTACCTTCGTCGCAGTCTTGGATATTAGCATACATGGCCGCGCTCACTCGTACGAGCAGCAACAGTTGGAGTGCCTTCGTGAAATTGGGAGTCCATGCTGACTTCACAAAATGTCTGCGCAAGCAATGTTACTCGAATTCACTCTAGACAAGAGTGTCCTGACCTGCGAACTTGGTCCTGCAGCATTCCCTTGTTGACGTCAGCCTTGGCCGGACTGCCATTTTGCGGCTTCGGTGAAGCCTTGTCAGGCCTACGAAAGCGTAGAGTCTCAAACTGAGGGTTGGACGCCATGGCGCTTAGAGAGAGAGATGGATATGTGGCTGAAATCACTACGCGTTAAGACACATCTCAGGTGTGGCAGCAGCAGTGCAGCCAGCAAGGCTGGGTGAGTGGCCACATCGAAGCCCCCATTGGCAGAGCAGGGTTCTCGCGCTCACCACGTGCCCCGATCACGAACGGGCCAGTGGCGACTGGTGGCAATTCTCAGGAGTACAGGACTAAGTCCTGCTTCTATGTTCCTCCTGTACAGTACTACACAGCGAACCGTGATATATTTACAACGATAATACAGGCCTCCAAGTAGTACGAGAACAAGCGGTAAACAGGAATAAATACAGAATGCACAAGAGGGGATCACCGGCCTAATTCCTCGTAGAACTTCACTATCTTCCTGACGCCAGGACAGAGAGCAAGCCTAACACGCTCACCCTCCTTAACCAAGGTCCTTCCTTTCGCTTCTAACCACGCGGCAGGACCACCGGGACCCTTCGCAATCAATCCCTTGTCTCTCACCACCTTGGCCAGCCGGTCTCTCTGGATAGACCACTTGAGCTGGTGCATGACCGGGATCAGCGATCGCGAGACGTGCATTGACGACGACTCCGCGTCGGGGAGAACACCAGCATCCCGTAGAACGTCCAGCGCCTTCTTCTGAGCCGCCGAGCGCCGTCTGAAGTGGATGGAGAGGACATCACACGTATGGCGGCGTTGTAACCGCAGCAGGTTCTCGTATTGCTTAACGGACTAGTACACACACATGCATGAGCTTCTGCAGTGCGCTCGGGTTTAAATAACACCACTTACAAAGGGAGAATAAATATACATTCCAAGCCTCCAGCGCCTTTCGATGCCCAAGCCGCGTATGACGCCTCGGTGCACCAGGTCCGCGATGGTCGGCCTCAGCGCGTCTCCCTGTGGACTTAGGGCAAATAGCGAGTGTTGCACCCGGGATGGTGCTACAACAAGGAGGCGAAACCTCTGAAGGACAGGATCTGCAGCGAGAGACGCGAGACCAGGCGATAGCTTCGACAGTGCTGCCAGTTCTGGCAGGTCCAAATACGAAACTGAGAAAAACCAATTATATTACTTTAGCACATGCATATATTTTCAGTATCCATGACCCACAGATGTGCAAGATGATCTCGGTTGGCAAGTCCAACAGCATACCGGAATGAAGGCGCGGGTATGAACAGGTTGTTGCCACAACTTGCAATTGAACGCACGTAGGTAACGAAACGACCCCGAATCTTCTCACCCTCTGACTCATGAGCACTCCCCGTGCATCTCCGACGTTGTGCTTTGGTTGTGCTGCATCGTCTGTCTCGGGCAGTGACACTAGCAGAGACGCAATCAATGGACAAACTAGCTAGCTGCTATTCATATGACAGACGTGGTACTTACAACATTCTATGACAAGGAAAGCTACTGCAGGCAGGGAAGGGGTCTTTGCTACAACATCTATGCCAGTGATACACGATGAACAATTCTCAAGATGATTAAGGCGATTAACACTAAAATTTGGTACCTTGTATTTCCGTTCACAAAGAAGGCAGGAATCTGAGAATTCACCAAAGAACTGGAGACAACTTCACCGATCAGGAGTCATATCGTCGTGGTGGTTTTCTCCACATCCACTCGAATTCCGCCACCGACACCCATGTCGATGGCTCTATAAGCGGGAGCAGGCATCTCAGCGTTCAAGCTATCCTCTGTCTCTTTATCCATCCCGACGAGAGCGGCCAAGTTGACGTTCTGCAACTCGACACCATCCAGCTCCGCGTCGACCTCGCCGTTTCCAGCAATGCTTCCCAGGACTACGTCCGACTTGAACGTAGCGGTAGGGTTACTCGTAATGAATCTGAAACCTAGGCCGCCACTGTGCGCTGTTCGCGATGAGGCACCCAGACCAGGCGGACTACTCTTGATAGCTCTTGGAGAAGGTGAGGCTGGGGAGTAGGCATTGAAGGGCCCGAGCGTGGAATGGGCTACAGTCTCGGATCCTCGCTCCCGAAGATCAAGGATCTGGAAGAAATGAATTCAAACTATTGTGGTTGGCGGAAAGTACTTACGAGACGGCAGGCGAGCAGAGGACTCATCATGACACTGAGAGGAATGTTGATTGCTGATATTACCTGCCGCGGTCTTCAAACATGATTGTCAACTGTGCATAATCCTTATCCGGATTGATAACTCACTGGAGGTAGAAGATCCCGTTGATCTTGGAATAGAATGAGTACCAAGGACGAAACATGGGGCGTGGCACAGATCTCACCAAATTTGCAATAGAGATCAGTATGTAATAGAAAACTCCTAATCACAGGAGGCGCTTAGTCGATCCGGTACAGAAGAATGTTATACACACACCTTCCCTGAGGAAAGTCTGGATGAGTCTACTGCTTGTAGCACCGCTCCTCCTCCGAATCGTGATAGCCTTCCATACTGTAATTGATGTCACCAGGGTATCGAACAAGAGCGGTGCGATCTAGAATTATCTCGGATCGACAATTGGCAGCTCAAGCTAGAGCTGACGTACGAAAAAGCCTGTTCGAGGACGCAGTCCGTTAGTGGATCGGTACTCAAGATACTCATTTATATGCTTACCAAGAAGATGTGCCGAGTGAGGCTTGGACATGGGGAAACACGGGCCTATAGTCTGAAGATTGACGATTACTGCCACATTCTATGCCCTCAGTGGTGCACTCACGAAAGGCGGCTTGACGAAAGGAAGGACTGTCGAATGCGGGATCCCATGAGACGGACAGATGAACAAACCTGACGGGAAGCTCACCTAGCATTTGTGAGGTATCCACATAGAGCTGATATGCGACGACCCCCGCAAGAGCACAGACGAGGAACACAAGAAGATAGTTGTTCCTATTGAAGAAAGCGTATGTGCGGATTAGGAGCACGGCTAAGGCAATATGTCAGCTAAAGCAGCAGTACTATGCTAACGGATGAGTAGTCACTCTCGGACCCGACTTGATTCCACATTGCCAGAGCTACAGGGATCTAGTGTTCCTTGTTTGAGCTATTAAGAATAGCGGATAGACGCGGTATCATTACCTTGTAGAGGGCTTGACATCTCGCCGCCGTATGGTCCACGACAAAGCAATATAGCAGATACGGAACAGTAGCTATGACCCAATACCTTGGCGTACAGATTAGTACGATGACGATACAAAGATAAACAATGAATACCTGCAGAATAGATATGCGACTTTGACTGGAGTCCAGATCGACTTCCAAATCTGCAGAAAGCGTAAGCCGCTGCAGCACGCAATATTGGCTTACGCACGAAACGCCACTCTCGAGGCAAGCTGATGAGCCAGTCCCAGATTATAACCGCATCTGCAAGGAGTCTTCAGTAACGTACTTGACGCGCGAAACTGCGCATATATTTACACATGGCTATTAGCAGCAGAGTGAGATCATGGTTCCGACGAGGCGCGTTCACGATGCACTTACCACAGAAGTATACTTGGGTACTGGACGGGAGATCTCAGTGTAGATAATAAAAGCAGAAGCTTTTCGCCTACATGAATATAAAATGCTGCGCGGTTTCCAGAGTGTCTGGCATGTTGCTGCTCCGGACAAGCGAAAGAAGGGGGACTAGGGGCTCTAGTCGTAGTCCGAGTTGAAGGCGTCTTGCGGTGGGGGAGGACAAGGAAGAGAAAAGGCAGAAGGCCGACCTATTAATGTTGCAAGAGCCATGTCGGTTGCGTATGCACCCGCCCGATGATTGCCAGTCAACTAGTGAAGGAATTGCAAGCCTGCTTTGGACATGGGCTTGCTTGATTCGGAAATATTGGCCGCTCGAGATTCGAGCTCCGACTCGGGCCTCTTCCCGTGAATTGTGAAACCTGGCATTTCCAGTGCCATCGCGTTCCTTGGAAGTCCAGGCAGGCTGAATGTGCTTGAACCACCACTGGCGTTGATATCAAGAGACTTCCGAAATATGCATGATACGACAAGGTGGCTTTGGGTAGGTATATTGCGTGTCTGTAACCGAGTATGCCACGAAACTCCGGCCATTGCCCCACACTTGCTTGCTTTGCGACTGCAGATCACGCTGCGACTCGGGGGAGATACCGGAGACTTGTGAATGGTCTCTATTGGCTTGCGTCTAAGGCTTACGCGCTCACGGGCGAACTGCATTCTGGCACGACGTGTCGGAATGCACAAGTGCCCATGGACGTAAATTTATAATTAATAGCAAGGTGCAACCACGGGGTCGCAAAGATTCACAAAGTTACAGCACTATACTGGTTCTTATTGAACCCGGTTGGTTACTCCCTTTTTACGTGGTAAAAGAGTCATCGAAGGACGCGCTTTCATATTCGCGGTGTTAGACCGATGATGACAGTTGTTGAACATCGAATGCCCACACACTCCTCCGTCCAGGTTGTGGGGGAATCATTGCCACCCTCTTTGCTTCACCTCTGTACTCTTTGTAGTGAGTTCAAGTTGCTTCTTCACTAGGAAAGCATGCGGGGTGCGTACACAATACAAACTGTAATCCGGTACGTTGTCAGAATATATGCCGGACGCCCGAAGCTGACTCCTCCTGTAGTTGCACGACTCTTCGAGAAAGAGATGAGATCAAGAAACTGCGTAACGGCCCCCATCAAATGTCCATAGAGCAGCTGAGCTGGAGGTTCAAGCATGACTCACGGACGATCAGTGCTGTACTTCGGTTCTCAGAAACAGATATTAAGAACTACCTTAGCGCAAAGGAAAACGAGGGTGTTGAATCCGCTTTCACATTGTCGAATCCTGTGACCCCGGGACCTTCAGATCGTGTTCTACGTCTACGCAGGAAAGGCGATAACGTTGGACGCGAAGTAGCGGAACCTAGGAAGGAAGTATTGGGTTGTAAGTATCCCACTAGTAATGAAACTTTGGCATCGTCCTCTCGACTGACCAGGTCGAGGGTAGCAACTAGAAGTGTATCCCAGGAACGCACACATAGCGGGGATGAACAGCTCCCTTTGAACTCGTCTTCACGCGGAGCCGCATTCTCACAACCGTCTATCTCTGCGACTAAGGCTGGGATTACTGGAGACATCGCTCTCTACATCCCGGAGGGGCGTGAAGATACCAATGTGAACCCGATCTCATATGTAAGGGCATGTTGCATCTCCTGCGCGGAATCTGAGACATTCTCTGTAGCTCCCCTTGTCTTTCCGGCAGCCACCTCAGAGGTCACGAGTACATCATACTGGTCAGCACCGACTGCTCCCAGCGGTCAAAGTCTTCGTCAATCATCTAGTACCACGCATTCCCGACGCTCCAAAAGTTTTCCGCGACATTGGCATCACTAATGCGCGTCATCTAGATGCGCTCACGCGCAAGCTCAGTGACGTGAATACCTGCAAACCGTTTTCTCTCGATTTGCAGCAAGAGTTCGAACGCAGAGGCGTAGAGCTCACCCAGTTTCTCGTGATATCGGATGCTCTGCAGGCCCGGAGCCCAGGCGATCCTGTTACTTCGTCGGTCACGCAGACTCCGTCGGATGCACTCAGCGCGTTCCTGCAGGGATTGGGTTTGTCCCTGCTTCATCATCGTGACGCTCTGCACGAAGCGTACATTCGCGATGGAGAGTGGCTCGACTTCTTGTCGGCGCAGGTTGATGCCCCAGGAGCGGAGTACTATGTCTGGCATCTGAAGACGCACAAGAAGCTCCAGAGTATCACCCCGTTGGAATGGCTCTTCCTGCTGCATGGGCTCAGGGATCAAGCCGCTCGGCAGCGAGAGTCCTCGGGCACGCCGCTTTCCTTCTGACTTCAGACCCTGCTTCAACCTACCATCTACGGATAGTATCGATCCTTGCGTATGTTCCCCGTCTCTTCTCGTGTTGCTTCCTTTGACTTGCCAAGTGTTGTGTTCATCACTGAGGGGTTCGAAACCTCCGGCTTTACATCAAACGCTAATGTTCCACTGCATGTACGGCACACTCGACAGTTGTATACTATGTATCACACCATGTTGTATAAGCCTACTATGTATAAGGTATTTTGTTACTCTCAAAGGGTACGGACGTCTAGGTCTCGGATGCCTTACCGGACACTCCAAGCCACAAGCATCCAGAAACTTCTCTAGGCTTCGGCGCATTTCGCGCCACTTTCTCGAGTTGCGTCTCGAGGCTCATCGAGACTCCCTTTCGGTCACACTTGCATCATAGCAATTCATTCACGAGGACGCAAATGTGAAGAACAATGATTTGCAGAACGCGTATAAAAGAGCGGATACAGAGAGTCGTCCGGACAACAAGAAAAGTGGACAGTTCCTACATCTTGCTACTGACTTCTTCTATACTTCGCTCATATAACGATGTCTCGCGGATTCTACGACCCATTCGCCGAGTTTGACCGCCTCTTCGACGAGGCGTTCAACGCGCGGAACATCGGGTTCGGCGGCAACAGCCAGCCTCGGAACCAGCTTCAGCGCCGCCCTGAATCTACGTCTTCAGCGTTGAGGCCAAGGTATGTCAGGCTATCACCGATGTAAGACTCCTCGACGCTGACAGGGAGCTGAAACAGAATGGACTTGCATGAAGACGTCAAGCAGAATGCCGTGACCGCCACATTCGAGCTGCCGGGCTTGCGCAAGGAAGACGTGAACATCGACTTCAACAACGGTCGCCTGACGGTGTCTGGTGAAAGCAAGCAGAGCGCAGATCGCGATGAAGCTGGGTATGCTGTTCGGGAGAGGCGGTACGGCAGGTTCTCTCGTACCCTCCAGCTGCCAAACGGCGTGAAGGTACGTGGATCCATCTCCCTTGAGCGTTTCGAGCCTGAATTGACCGGCTGTTCGTAACAGCCCAATGATATCAAGGCCTCGATGGAGAACGGAGTGTTGACTGTAACATTCCCGAGAGCGTCGGCAGAGCAGACTCCCCGACGCATCACCGTGTCATAAGGGGCGCAAGGAGGAGGAAATGGAAGTGCTCTGAATCAGTACCTGTGTCGTCAAGTAAGAAGTATCCGGGGAGTGTACGATTATGTAGTGGCATAGTCAATATCAGCGACTTCATTTTTGTTAGCTCCCGGCCCCATGCGAATTCCTGGACCAGAGAGAAAGACTTGAGCGAACCCGTAAGAGAGTAGTGCAGACTGCCTGCACAAAGTTTGGAAATGTGTCCGCCTTTCGGACTTGAAACTCACCGGTCACCTTCCAGTGATCGTCAGTAACGTTCAAGTCAAGGGGATCCGGAATTTGGACTTGAAGTAGTGAGCGGTCACCGGTCCGGAAGCGGCCGGACAACTATGGGCCACCATCAGCTCTAGATTTGCAGTCTCACTCGTACAAACGACCAGAGTCCCCGGTACCGATACCCAACATGACGAGCAGCAGTGGACCTCGCATTATGGAGGTTCTGTCGCGACCTCCGATACACGACCTCATATTCGGCCAGCTTTCGCCGGCAGGCCTGGTTCGATTCTCTCGCACCTGCAAGCTCGCCCAGGCTGGCGTTCAGTCGTTCTATAACCGTGCATTCAACATCAACAGGCATCTATCCCGATTCTTCAAAGACCCGATTGCTTTTCGCTCACTGCAGGCTCGCACCGCAACACTGATTTCTGGTTCCAGCGCGCTGCAGTTCCTTGACCGCACCTTCTACCCAGACAGCGACCTCGACCTTTATGTCCATCCTGGATTCGCTAGGGAGATCGGGCGATGGCTGATCGATCATGAGGGGTATGAGTATAAACCATACGAGTCCCAGAATGCGGACTTCGACACGCAGGACGAGGTGATCATGAAGGCCATGCGAGACGCCGGCCTGGCACCTGGACAGCGTACCTTTAGCGAGGATTTACATCCCTTTATGAACCAGATGTACAGGATCCCGGGCGTCGAAACTGTGTTTAGCTTTGAGAGACTGAATCCGAACGCAGGGGAGGACCCGCTGAAGGTTCAGATCATTCTGGCTAGCCAGACGCCCTTGCAATGTATATTAGGTTTCCATTCGAGTGCGCACACTCCATTTCCTGTTGGTCCCTCACTAACGAGAGCATAATGACTAGCTATTGTTATGAATCTGATCACGTACAACGCTGCCTACGCGCTATATCCTGACGCTACCTTTGAGAAGCGGCGCGCCATAGTTATGGGAAGGATGCGAGCGGAGCGCGACATTCAAGCTCTGCAGAAGTATATGCGGCGCGGCTGGAAGTTCCAAGCGACTGTACCCGACGTCCCAATACCTGACTACTTCCGTATGACCATGGACCGAAGCGTGCTCGACTCCTACACATGGTCCATCCCTCTCTCTCTGGAAGGCGTCGAGCCGCCTCGCCCGCTCTCCCTCACGTCCGACCCTCTAACGTGGGATCCCGTGATATTCAGCAGCTTCCGGCTGCAGCGCCAACACAAGGATGACCTGATGTATATGTGGTATGAGCTCGTGAGCTCCACTGTTTTGAGATTCAAGTACCTCACTGCGAGTGAGGACTTCCTGGAGATCCTGCGAAATTTCTTCATCGCCCAAGGAGTCTTGATGCATATGCGCGTGGACGACGAGCAGGGGCCGGCCCATTTAATTGGAAGTGAATACTGGGCCTGGTGCGGCGCCCATCTTACGTTGTAATCTATCTTCAGCAACGACTGACTGAATAAACCTCAGGTGGGACTCGGAGTTGCCAATTCTCCGCAGTCGGCTCGTGGAAGCAACGCAGGCACGAAAACGGATGCTAATTGACTGATCATTGCGCACCGTTTCAAGCATATTTACTTTCGACTTCCATAGTTGTTGTATCTGTACCGTGATCAATCCAGCGTAATGTTAGTTGTCATTTCGAGAGGCCCAATAATGCCGCAGCCACAGTTCTGAGTTCAGAAGCGACTGGGACTGTCGGGCACAGCCACCTTGATCATGCACGATTGCCACATGACGTCACATGTAATGAAGTCAATAAGGAGCTCACGAGTATTGGCAAGCACTCTAAGCAACCGTAATCCCCTCCACAACCTGAACACATACCATCATGCCCACAACGCGCCGTCAGGCTACCCTCGAAAAAAATGGGGAGTTGAATAAACCTGAGCCAGCCAGTAAGCCCCCCGCGAAGAGCGGCAGGGGAAAGGGGAGGAAGCCGAAGAAGCAAGAGCAAGAAGAGCCAGCCGCTGGCGACAAGAGAGAGGTGGAGGGAGCCGCGGAAAATAAGGAACAAGAGGAGCCTCCTTCAAAGAAGCCGAAAGTCGACGAGGAGGCCAAAGATGTTAAAAAGGTCCACGAACCCGCGGGTGACTTCAGCCCTCTTTCAGGTGATTGCGTCGCAACCTGCCTTTTCGTGGAAATTTAGCTAACCCGAGAATTGGCAGGGACTATCGAGCGCGGCCATATCTATTTCTCCTACAGGCCCAAAGTCCAAGTCGAGGAAGCCGAATCTCTCGATGACGTGCGCAACTTCCAGATAATCTTGGTCCCGCGTCCTCCCGCCTTCGCGACTAATGATGAAGATACGAGCAAAGTGGATAACGAGAAGAGTGAGGACTCTGAGATGAAACTCCTCTCAGAAGGGGCCGACGCTGTTCCTGCAGCGGAGCCCAAGGGGCAGGACAAAAAGAAATTCAGAGTCATTACGGTAGGCAAGAAACAGCTGCCGGATCCCGATAGTGGTGGAAGCGGCCGAGGAAGGAAGGAGACATTCTGGGCGACTGTCAGTGCCGTTGGAGATGACCTACATAAGCTGGAGAGTGGTCTCGGGGAGAAGGAATACGAGACCAAGACTAGAGGTGAGAGGCTCTGTCGGGCATATTCGGCGCCGTTCACTCATGTTGTTTTAGGCACCAGACATGAAGGACCAGCTAGATTAGTCGGTCGCGGCGCATATGCCATCGTCAATAATGATCCATCGACCCCTTCCAAGAGGGAAACTCACCTTGGTTATCATCTTTCGCACCCATCTCCATCCCAGCTCGGTGAAGTCCAGCACGAGATGCGTATATATTCCGCTTCCTCGTTCATCATCCAAGTTCGCAATCCCCTGGCACCCGTGAGCGGTGGTCAGAGGGTCGGTTTACCTCAGGGCAGGCGAGCGGAATATCCGGAACAGGTCATGAAGGAAGTATTTGGGCAAGGCACCAGAGGTACAGAGGCATATGGATTGCGTTTCTCAGGCGTCACCCGGCCGGAACTGCTAGACTACGAAGGGGCAGAACTGCTTCTGATCGGAGCAAGGTCTGGTGAAGATGGGCTGGAAACGAGCTTGGGCGAAGGTAGAGGAAGCGGTGCGTGATGTTCGTCAACATCTGTAACCTCGTTTTGATTCTTTTCTCAGCATTAAACGAGACTGCGGAGAAAGAAAAGGATGAGTCAATTCAAGACGTCCTCAAGGAACTCGCTATGGACGAGGAGAAGATCCCCGCAGAGCCTTTGAAAGGCGAATGGCTGTAGTTTGAAATTACATTGTACAACATATCGGTGCTATGATACTACACCTGAATCAGTAAATAAAAGAATGCAATATTGAAAAGAGAACACGTACAGAGTCCATGCATCTCTCAACCCACAGTGCGGTACGAGTCTATAATAAGCAGGGTATATGTCAACGAAACGAAACGTCCTGGAGTATCCGTCATGACACTTCGGTGGCCTCGTCGGGATCCGTGTTGACTCGGAGGACCTTAACCCATTCTCGATAATTGAAGTTACCCTGTCTGTCCGTAAAGGGGCCCTTCAATAGGCGGTCAATCTGAAATCGTCGTGAGCCCACTACTAGGAGCAATATAATCATGAGTCTCACCTCCGATTGGTCCATCCGTTCCCCGACCTCTGAGAGCCACTTCCTCATTTCGTCACATTTCACAGTGCCAGTATCATTCTCATCAAATGACTCGAACGCCTCAATCAGCTCAGCCTCGGTGTCGAATTCGAACAGGTGCTCCCCCATCATGGTGAGGAACATCGTGAAGTTGATACCGCCACGGTCGTCCGCGTCCTCACCAGACGGCGATCTGCTATGGGTGCCTGGTCGGTCGCTGAGTAGATCGTCAAGCATCTTCCTCGACGGTTGCAAGCCTAGAAGACATGCAGCATTGTATGAGACGAGGGTGAGTGAGAGGAGGGTATAGAAAGCCCATACCGAGGCTCGCGAAGATATCTTTCAGATCTTTCTCGCTCACAATCCCATCCCTGTCCTGATCTATGAGAGAGAACGCCTCTTTGAACTGCTGGATCTGAGGGGCATTGAACAACTGGAAGACGCCTGAAGGTTCGCGTCGCGCCCGGGACTTCTGAGCCTTTGTCAACTTCGGACCTCCCGGGGAAAGATAGTCGGGATAACGGGACATGATCAACTCCTCAACCCAATGAAAGCAAATCGAGGACTATGCGAGAAGGACACGCCCAAGCGATATAGGAGAAGAGTTTCAGATTCAGACTACAGCTCTGGTTATATATCCAAGCTTGCCACAACGGGAACCCTTAATACGCGATCACATGACAAAGGCTTGATCCCTATTTGGCACTTGTCACGACAGAGATATTGATACAGTAAATAATGCAAGCATTTCCTCCGGAACAACAAGAAGTACGCATAGATGAAGTACAACGGTAGCGAGCTAGAAGAATAGCCACAAACCCCGAATAACAGCCGCGCAAGTCGTTACTTCCTGATGAGCGCTCTGCACATCAAGTACAACGCAAACGTCCTGGGCAGCCACTTCAGGATAGTGATCAAGGTCCCACCAGCCCCCATTCCCTCGAGGATTGCAGGAGGCTTCCTGCGGAGGGCCTTCCGGACCACAAGTTCCGCAAACTCCTCTGTGGGCATGGAACCTTTGCCTTGACTCGCCCACATGCGCTCCAGCATCCTGTCCAGGTAGTCTTTATATAACGAGTCCTCCGGGAGAGTGAAGGTTTGCGCGTGGTTACTTGAGAAGTTGGACTTGATACCAGCGGGGGCAACCAACATGACGTCGATATTGAAAGGCTTGAACTCCATGTACAGGCTCTCAGTTATGGAGCGCAGGGCTGCTTTCGTGGCGCAGTATATCCCAGCCCATGGCGTAGCACTAATCCGGGCGTCAGGCCAGTCGATGAACTGTGACTTCGTGGACTCACATATGCCCGACCACAGAACCGATGTTAACTATCAGCCCGGACTTTCGAGCCGCCATGTGCGGGAAGGCGGCTTGCGCGGTCCGCAACGCTCCGTAGACATTTGCGTCGAAGGTACGCTTCACCGTTTCGAGCGGGATTTCAACGGTTGGACCTGTTTAGCCCTCAGTACTTAGTGGTGGCCGATAAATGTCATGTAGGGATTGAGAGTACCAATGCACGCATGTCCGGCATTATTCACCACCACGTCTATCCGTCCTTCAGCCTCTATGATCTGCTGCACTACAGCTTCGACGTCCTCCTCGCTGGTGACATCCATTGCAAGTCTACGTATTGACGGGTGGTCAAAGGCGTCCATTGACTCAAGTCTGCGTGACGTTGCGTAGACTTTACAGCCATGTTTCGCGAAATGCAGGCACCTGGAGGGAATGAGTGATACCAGAGGGCAATCGACGAAGTGCTTACAGATGGAATCCAATTCCGCCGTTAGAACATCCAGTCACCAATACGACCTTAGGTGCGCCGGACATGGCTATGTCGCGTCGTGGTACTAGACAGCAGCTGGTTATGGACTAAGTAGTCCAGAATATCGACGTCCTTATTATAAGACAAGTAGAACCGCCATAAACCCAAACCTCGATGGGCATTATTGGGAATTGATAGGCTTCACATGGTCGTCGATCCCACACCTGTACATGTCCGCTGTCTCCGGAGTACAACAATCAGGGTAAAATCCACGAGAGACAAAGCAAACATTCTCAGAGAAGTAAGAACTCGGAGGTGTGACCAGATTAATGTAACCCGACCACAATCAACAGAACGTTAACCTCGATCGGCTCAAGATGGCGACGAAGATGGCGTCAAGTCCTCATATCCCTCTAACATCCGATAAGATAGGTTATACATCGTTGCTGTAACAATTAACTATTACGAGACTATTAGATGCGTGTATGGATGAAACAGATCCTCTAACTGTCTACCATAATGGTTTGCGCCATGCGTCCATAGATGAAACCATGCCACAGCAAAGGCAGCACCACAGCAACATCCGACTGCAACCTGGGCCAGGGTGTGCTTACCGAGCCATATACGGGAGCCAGCGACGACGACAGCGGAAGGGAGCATAAGAATTGGAGGTAGTACCCGGATGGCTTGCCCCGAAGGCAGCGACGGGTGAATGGGGAGATATGCACAGGCCAGGGGAATATAGACGGCGAAGAACGTGATGGTAGCGGAATGTGTGCTGGGCATTCTGCAACGGGACGTCTGAGCGACTACAGTCCCCAACCAACGGCCGAGCAAGTATCACTCACCCGTAAGCTGGTTTCTTCCTGTCGCTGCGTAGTACAGGCCTTGGCTGGCGAACGACGCGTTTGAGAGCCTTGACCACTAGGCTGCATATTACAGCGCCCACCGAGAAATAAAGAGCGCCGGCGGAACGAGTATACAATACAAATGAGCCGGTCAAGCCGATAATAACAAGGTTGACCTGCGGACAAGGCGAAGTCAGTTGACTGCCAAGTCCTCGGACCCTTCCATCTCTGAGACGCACTCTGCGAAGGATAATCAGCCACCACGGCTGCCCGGTATACTTTCCAGCATACTCTCGTTCAGCGACCATCTGGCCGTTGCAAGCAGGAGTGCGTTGGCCTTCGGAGGAACATGAGGACCAGTGTAATACACGGTGGTGGCGTAGCTGCCGAATTCCGGCCAAGACGTCTCGATTGGGCCGCCGGACCTTGGCGTGGACCCGCGAGACTCGGGCGGGTTCCCTATACAGAGAAAGCTATTCTGAGAACAGGCCTTTTATATGTACCACTGCCTCCCGTTCAGCCTTCGATCCCCTTTTGTTGGCTGCGTGTCTGTGGTATCTGCTTGCTCCCTGTCACGTCTGGAATAGCGCTTGCGCTTCATCATCCCGCTCTCTCTCTTGCTTACTACCCTCTAATCCGACTCCAGTCGTAATGCATCTCTCGAAACATCTGGCGCTGGTCTCGCTTTCCCTCCTTTCGACTCTCTCCGCAGCACATGGCGCATCCGTAACACGGCGAGCCACAACCTGCAATGGACACGCCGAGGTATGCTCATCTCGCGTCTTATTGCTTCAAAACTTATGTGGTGAATGTATGTCAGTTATGCGATCGTAGCTACGGCAATGTCACGTTCGTCGGGGCACATGATTCCTATGCAGTAGGAACAAACAACCGTGAGTAGTGCAGAACTCTAGAGACATAATCATTGACACTGCTGCCACTGGCAGTCGCTGCCAATCAGGATTACAACAGTAAGTTCGTCGTCTCTGCCTGCGGACTACGTTTCTGAGCAGTCGCTTGTGGCCTAGTCACTCAACAATTGAACGATGGCATCCGTATGCTTCAAATGCAAGCACATAACAATGGAGGCACCATTCAGCTGTGTCATACCAGCTGTGTACGTGCTAGCTTTTTTGCTTACTTCACCCCCCCTCCTCACGATCTATCCACAGTCCCTATACAACGGTGGGACCCTTCAGGATTACCTGACGACAGGTATATGGTCTTCCTGACATGATAGTACAGGTTGGACTTACATCACCTTTAGTGAAGACATGGTTGGACGCGAACCCCAATGATGGTGAATTGGTTTGGTCAATTTCCATGAGTATGATGACCTAAGAATGAACCTCTAGTTCTCTCACTCCTCATCGTGAATTCCGATGATTTGCCGCCGTCCCAATACGACGCTGTCTTCAAGACGGTAGGATTGGATACGATGTCATATACACCCGCCTCGTCCCCCATTACGCAGAGCTCATGGCCCACGCTGGGTTCCATGATTGACTCGGGCAAGCGCTTGGTCACGTTTATGGATGCCTCGGCGGACTTCACTGCCGTACCCTACATCATTGACGGTGAGTATCTCAAGGCTCAAGATCGTTCAGATGTTCTAATGATTCAGAGTTCACCAATATTTGGGAGACTGCGTATGACGTAACCGACACAACTTTCAACTGCGAGGTCAACCGTTCGAAAGGGGATACCTCTACGGAGATGTATCTCATCAATCACTTCCTGGATCAGCTTGTTCTGGGGAACCCTGTACCGGATGTGGGCAACGCTGCCAGTACTAACGCGGTATCCGGTGTTGGTTCGCTGGGTCAACAGGTTGCGACATGCGCTGCCCAGTATGGCAGGAACCCGAACTTCATGCTAGTTGATGTACGTATCCTTCTTGTGCTCCTTCGCACACGGTGCTAAGTCGTCCTGCAGTTCTACGAATATGGTGGAGGATCTGTTTTCCAGGTAGCGGCCTCCGCGAATGGCGTGGACTACTCCCCATCTACTCCAGTTGCTTCGCCAAAGTCTCAGACGTCGGATTCTTCGAACTCGACCGGTGGCTCCAGTTCGGCTGCTCCAATTGACTTCCGGATAAACCAGAGTCATGCTGTCGCTGTCTCAGCCTTAATCTTCAGCGTGTTGCTTGGGGCATACAGTGTTGTGTAGGCGTTGCAACTTCATCTCACGATCATCTCGCATCCAGTAGCCAAAATGTACTTTGCGGACTGCACCATAGGACACATTCGGACATTCGGACATGCAATTTTAAATTAACCAGATTTTAATCACTAGTACTATCATTGAGGGGGTTCTGCAAATTTTGCAGAACCCCCTCACCCCCTTATATCTCATTCCACACTCAACCAAAAAATGTTGGGTAAGCTCAGGCAGGTATATATACACTAGAATAGAACCTCTGCCAAGTCAGAATGGGAATATCTGCTGTGGTTGAAGAGAGGGAGAGAAAATGGGTCCTATAGGCCATGGGAAAGAAACAGTGTCCACTAGATCTCTCGTGATGCTCTCAACGGACTGCAGTGGAATGGCTTGGCGTATCATGAATATGCTGTCTATAGTACAATACACCAGCCCGATAGAGTAAATAACGAGCGTGTCGAGATAGAGAGGCAACTTTGCACATCTCCCGGGCCCATATCGTGACAAAAGCGTGACATGGCTCGCGGCGAGATCCCACTGTGACCGCATGTGACACCTTTTTGCAGAACCCCCTACATGAACCGGCATCTCTCTCCTACGTTCCACAGGCTGCATAAAAATGCACAAA